AGTTCCGCAGTTCCTGGGGGCCAAGTTTGGGGACCAACAGGTGAAATATGCCCCAGCAGCCAGCTCAAGACCAGGAATGCCTGCAGCTTTCCTTTGCTTTCCCCTTCTCCTTACTTTGTAACATTCCCCTAATAAAAGTACTTGAAACTTGCAACATTTAATCTCTCCGCTTGATACTTTTGTATGTTTCCTTGACTCAGACTGATATAACATTAAAACAAACCTTTTTCCAGGCTCCGGAAAGCCGTGAGCCTGCGGGGAGGCGCCTCCGGGCACACCCCAGACCCCGGATCTGCGTTCGCCCGAACCGCGGATACGGAAACCGCCATTTTGGACCCCCTTATCCGCGAAAAATCATAAAATGGCGGATTGCCGCCGTTCAAATTTTATATTTTTCTGCTACTAATCCTAAGACTAACTGCTATCTCCCTTTTCTCATTTTGGACTCCTATACCCGAGAATAAATTGATTTTGTTTAAAGTATTTTATTTGACAGAGATCAGCTGTTTGTCAATTTGGCCGGATTTCTTCCAAGACAGCCCGTTTCTTCTCAGCGCTGCTCGCTCCTGCCTGGCCCCAGCGACCAGAGACCCACTGTGGTCACCCATGGGGGGACCCCGGGAGGGCGGCCAGATGTGGGTCCCGGTCTCTGGCGAGGGAGACATAGTTTTTCCAAGGACGGACAATGGACACTATCACCATCTCACCCAGCGATCATCTTTGGACTTTTTTGCCTTCTCTTACTGACTCTCTGCCTCACGCTCCGGACTGTTTTGCCATATCTTTGGACACAAACCTCCCGACAGGGCTTGCCTTGAAATGCAAACAGCCTCCGTTTACGCGCACCTTCACCAAGGGACCATGAAATCCCCCGTTTGCGTCAATAATAAAGATCAAATATTTTAATAAATTTCGCCTGGGATGGGGATGGGATTGCCTTATGAAATATATGTGATGAAATGTTGTATAGAGTATACTGTGTTCCCGTTTCCCGCCTTTCCTGCTGACCTTTGTCCCATAAAGATGTGACCTGAGGATTACTGTCTTGCCTTGGGGAGAAGCTCCTTTGTTCTCCCCAAACCCTTCCTGATTGATTCACTAGCATGGACAATACTGTTGATCCCCAACCCTGGCCCTCGGAGCAAGACCAGCGAGGGAAGGGGGCCAACAGAAACTCGGAAAGAAAGGATTGATTAAATCATCAAGATAACGTTGATCCCCCCATGAGGTCCGTTGTCTGACCAAGTACTCTCTTCCTCAAACCCATTCACAACAGGAAAACCTTTTATTTACCGAAACCAGCTGGCCGGCCGTAATCTCATCTCTCTTCCATTGTGAGGACTCATCCTGCCCCCTAGCTCCTGATTGGTCCATCTTCAGGAGCGAGAGAAGCATTCCAATTGGCTTCCCCGAGGCCAACGAGGCTCGTTGATTGGCCCAGAGGCAGGGCGGGCCACCAAGCCCCCTCCCAGCTGTTCCGCCGCCAGCCAATCAGCGCGAAGCCGGCCGGCAGAGGGCGGGCGGGAGTTTTGAAACTGTTTTCCTTTGTCTGTGTACTATAAAAATGCTTGGAAATTCTGTAAAACTATGCTTGTAGTGAAACGATTCCTACATTTGCATCCGATTGCAGCTGAATCGCAAAATAAACACCTTGGTCGCTGAATTTCTTCTGCCTTCGGTGAGATTATTTTAAATATTTTTTATTCTTTGGATTGGCTTCTGCTGGCCTCACCAAGGTTCAAGGGCCCTTTTGAGCGGTCCTAAGGGATCTCCTCCGCCAGGAGACCCTCCCAAAAGAGCTCGATATCATTACCACTCCTGAGAGATGGCCATTCAGCCTCAGTATAATACTACTACTACTACTGTTACTATTAATAATAATAATAATAATAATAATAATAATAATAATAATAGAAGAATCCTAGTATAGAAGAGACCTGAAGGGGCCATCCAGACCAGCCCCTTTTGGGAAATGGGAGAAGCACAATCTAACCACTCCTAAGAGATAGCCAGCTTCAGGTTAATAATAAGAATAACAACAACAACAACAACAACAACAACAACAACAATAATAGCAGTCCACTTACATCTGGAGAACACTGTGAACCAACAGAAAGATGGCAAAATTTGAACACGGTAGAGTTTGGGGAAGATCTTGACATTTGGGAGTTGCTTGTGGGGGGGGGGGCGACGGGTCCTTCGCCCTTTCACCCCAAGTAGGACAGAAGGGGAAAGAAGGGAGGGAAAGACAGAAGATAAGGGGAAGAAGGAAACAGAAGGAAGGAAGGGGAAGGGTAGGAGGGAGAAGAAACAGAAGGGGAAGAAGGGAAGGAAGGAAAGAATGGGCAGAAGATAACAAAGAAGGAAAGGAAGGACAGAAGATATGGTGAAGAAGGGAAGAATGGAAAGGAAAGGTAGGACAGAAGGGGAAAGAAGGGAAGGGAAGGGAAGGGAGGGAGGAAGGAAACAAGGAACAGAAGATAAAGTAAAGGAAGGAAGGAAGGAAAGACAGAGGATAAGGGGAAGAAGTGAAGGAAGGAAGGAAGGAAAGAAAGAAAGAGGAGGGGAGGGGAAGGGAGGGAGGAAAAACAGAAGATAAGGGAAGGAAGGATCAGAGCACTGTGGCTGCCCCATGAGCTACGGGTAAGTGGGGGGGGGGGTGAAAGAGCCATGCCTGTCCAGGAAGGCGGCGGGGCTCGGGAAGAAAGGCGTGCTGCATCGGAAGGCCAGGCGGGGCTTGGTGCAGGGTTTCTGGGAGACCTCTTGGGGGGAACGGAGGGAGGGAGAGAGGGAGGACACCCGGGCCCAAAACGGCTGTGTGGTGAGGAGCAAATCTCTGGCGACGGAGGGGTCAGAAGCAGGAGTCCTCTCTGCCTGCAACTCCTCCTGGGAAAGGCGGGGAGGCCTCTCCCAGGCGCAGTTCCTATGGCAGGCTCAGCACCAGCAGCACGGCGACAGAGTGGAGAAGGCGCCTCCTGCTTCTGCTCCCTCGCTCGAAGAGGCCCCTCTGTCTCCGCCGGTCAGGCTGGTGTTTCAGATTTTAAATTTTGGTGGAGCTGTGGCTGGCTCCGGGAGGCCCAGCAGCCGTTGCTGCCACAAGTTCCGCCGCGAGACGATGGAGGAGCTCTCTTACATGCACGTGCACTCCCCCCACAGCTGCACGCATGCGCTGTAATGGCTTCTCCTTTTATTAAGGATTTCTAAGTTGTTTTCAGTTTTATTTTATTTTTTATTATTGATGGTCACACCTTGTATGGTGAGGAGTTTTGTTGCCAAATTTGGTGGATATTGGCCCAGCAGTTCTTTTGTTTTTAAGCACTCATTACGACTTGAGCATTTTTATATATATAGATAGTCCAGAGTCCAATGGAGCCTAATGGCTTCTGTACAGCATACAGTTCCTATATTGAAGTCTAGACTGTATTCATTGCTGCTGATGCAAACAGATGGCTTGTGTTCTAACAGTCTAATGCAGGGTTTCTCAACCTTCCTAATGCCGCGGCCCCTTAATACAGTTCCTCATGTTGTGGTGACCCCCAATCACAACATTAATTTAGTTGCTCCTTCACAACTGTAATTTTGCTACTGGCATGAATCGTAATGTAAATATGTGAGATGCAGGATGTATTTTCATTCATTGGATCACATTTGGCACAAAAACGAAATATGCCCATATTTGACTACTGGTGGGATTGAGGGGGGATTGATTTTGTCATTTGGGAGTTGTAGTTGCCGGGATTTATAGTTCACCTACAACCAAAGAACATTCGGAACTCCACCAATGAAGGAATTGAACCAAAATTGGCACACAGAACTCCCATAAGTGTCAGAAAACACTGGAAGGGTTTGATGGGCACAGACCTTGAGTTTTGGAGTTGTAGTTCACCTGCATCCAGAGAGCACTGTGGACTCAAACAATGATGAATCTGAACCAAACTTGCCATGAATACTCAATATGCCCAAATGTGAACACTGGTGGAGTTTGGGGGAAATAGACCTTGACATTTGGGAGTTGTAGTTGCTGGGATTTATAGTTCACTTATAGTCAAAGAGCATTCTGACCCCCATCAATGATAGAATTGGGCCAAACTTCCCACACAGAACCCCCATGACTAACAGAAAATACTGTTTTCTGATGGTCTTTGGCGACCCCCTGACACTTCCTCGCGACCCACCCAGGGTCCCAACTCCCAGGTTGAGAAATGCTGGTCTAATGGCTTTTATTTCCACTAAAGCAAATGTGGATCTAAAATGGGAGTCTCAGATCCTGAACATGTCTAGACCTGATCACATGGTCTGCAGCCCCTCACACAACAAAGAGGTTAGGTAAAATTGCAAACCAATACAATACAATACAGTAAGCAATTATATACATAACAAATAACTAGTGGGGGACTTGAGAAGGTTGCTATTTCCAACAAAAACAGGGGCCCAGAATAAGCCTTATTCTGGGGTCCCTATTTTGAGCTTATTTTTTGCATATTACAATTATAATGCAAGTTGTGACAAGTGAAAAATTGTGGGTTCGCTGAACAGAAGTTGCACCGACATTTCAAAGGACTGAAGACCGACAGGTCACAGCTTCAAATCCGGGGAGAGCACGGATGAGCTCCCTCTATCAGCTCCAGCTCCTCATGTGGGGACATGAGAGAAGTCTCCCACAAGGATGGCAAAACATCAAAACATCCAGGCGTCCCCTGGGCAACATCTTTGCAGACGGCCAATTCTCTCACACCAGAAGTGACTTGCAGTTTCTCAAGTCGCTCCTGACACGACAAAAAATGGATCTTACATTTCAAAGCATTGTCTTTGAAAGCAAATACACATTACAAATACATATTGCAAATGGATATTGCAAAACTCCCCAGTTCTAATTCTAACATATGTAAATCAATATACAGAGATGTAATTTACATTTCGGAATCCAGCCAAAGCTACTAAACCTCAATTCTTCCAAACACAAAATATATCAGAACAATTGTATTTTTAAAAAATCCTTTTCTTTAATTTCCGATACAAAACGTTCCATTCTAGTCTGAAGGGTCCTTTCTCTCACAATAGAAATTTGTGATATCGGGCCCTCCTTCACGACTCAAGCGGATAGGCTTGTTTATTTCGGTGGAAGTGCTCATGAACCATCCGGGAAACGCTGCGGATTCGAAGCAGCAGGTCTGTTCCTGGTTATTAGATCAGCTGTAGAAAGTGAAGCTCTTGGATTCTTTGTGGCTTGAATAAAGGTCCAAAATGTTTCTCTCCTAAGGACATGGAAAGTTAGAAAGAAAGAAAGTGTTATAAAATCTATCAGGAAAATAGTGCAGTTAAGGAATAGTAGAGAATACCCCCCCCCCCCTTAGAAGCTATTCTCATTCTCTCCAGAAAAATTTAACTATTGCATTCCATAATTATTTTACTTTTCCAACATTTATAGCATACAACTCTCCAACATTTGAGAGATGAAAAAGGAGGAAATATGTGGCTGAGTGACATCAGAATCTGGCCAAGGTGGCAAAAGTTATGAATGAAGAAAAACACACATGCTAGGAGAGGTTGCATCAGTTTGCTTTTGCCTAGGCCAGTGGTTCTCAACCTTCCTAATGCCATGACCCTTTAATACAGTTCCTCATATTGTGCTGACCCCACCACAGCATTATTTGTGTTGCTACTTCATAACTTTAATTTTGCTACTGTTATGAATCATAATGTAAATATCCGATATGCAAGATGTATTTTCCTTCACTGGACAAAATTTGGCACAAATACCCAATACGCCCAAATTTGAATACTGGTGGGGTGGGGGGGGGGGGGTTGATTTTGTCATTTTGGAGTTGTAGTTGCTGGGATTGACAGTTCACCTACACTCAAAGAGCATTCTGAACTCCACCAGCAATGGAATTGAACCAAACTTGGCACATAGAACTGCCATGACCCACTGAATATACTGGAAGGGTTTGGTGGGCATTTACCTTGAGTTTTGGAGTTGTAGTTCACCTGCATCCAGAGAGCACTGTGGACTCAGACAAAGATAGATCTGGACCAAACTTGGCACAAATACTCAATATTCCCAAATGTGAACACTGGTGGAATTTGGAGAGAAATAGACCTTGACATTTGGGAGTTATAGTTGCTAGGATTTATAGTTCAACTACAATCAAAGGGCATTCTGAATGCCACCAACGATGGAACTGGACCAAACTTGGCACACAGAACTCCCATGACCAACAGAAAATACTGGAAAGGTTTGGTGGGCATTGACCTTGAGTTTTGGAGTTGTAGTTCACCTAGCACTGTGGGCTCAAACAATGATGGATCTGAACCAAACTTAGCACAAATACTCAATATGCCCAAATGTGTAGACACACCTGGGCTCCTGATGGTCCCCCATCTCACAAACAAGGGACTCTCTTTCCCCCTCATGGATATATTTCCCTTTATGGACACTGGGGGAGGGTAGTTGGGTTTACTCTCTGTATTATGATTTCTATATTTTCATATTTTCTCCTGTATTTCTATATTTCCCTTCATGTATTTGACCTTGCCCTGACCCTTTTTGCCCCCTTCTTGAGGAAAAATGTGTAAGGAAGTTGCCCTGATCCTGGAGGGGCAGGGATTAGCCATCACAAAGAACTCTTATCTGTCAGGACTCGGTTTCCTGGCCTTGGAAAGTGGCGCAAAAAACCGGATTCCTGACATGGAGAACCGATAAGGAATTGCAGCTGGTGGCCTTGGGAAGGGCAGTTGGTGGTTTGGCGGGGAATATTGAGCGGGATCCTGGGTCGGCGGGAAGGGGGAATTCGAATGTGGGGAGGGTATATAAAGGGCTGACGTGCGTCTGTATGCCAATCCTGGCTTTCATTGTGTATCTGTATCCAGTAGTAAAAGGTTTCCTGATTGATTACGGACTGGCGTCTTGTGTCTTTTCGGGGAGCGGCTGCTGTGAGCTTACACTTATCTATAGACATCCCTTGCATGGACAGTGACAAAAGGTGATATTCTTTGGCTTCGGAGGTACTTGGCCAACTAGGAAGTCACCAATTAGCAAACTCTTAATCATATCTTCATGGGATAAGGGGAAACCCTCGAAAAGTTACCCTCTCCCAACCTTTCACCCATTCAGCCTCTCACTAAAGACATCCACCGAAGTTTGCCCCCATTGTTCCCCTGTCTATGCTGTTAAAGAAAACCCGGATTATGTTTATTGCCACCCATCACAGGACACTAGACTAGCCTGGCTTGCAGGCCTTTCTAGGACTCACCAGGCATTTGGACATTTCCTGAGTTTCCATAATCCACTCAAGAATGCATTGTATTCCGTTGTCCCGCCTCCCTCCCTTCTGATTTGCCAACGCCCAAAGTGGCAGGAGCCTTCTGATTGGCCCACACACTCAGAGGGCGGCCGAGCCTCCTTCCAGCTGTTGGGGCATCAGCCAATCACTTTTCAGCCAGGCAGAGAGCGGGGAGCGGGGAGAATTGAAACCCATAACTCTGTATTTTCTATAAAAATGCCATTTATTTCTGTAACCACATGCTCTGCTTGGCAAATGATTGCTGCTTTGCATCCTTTTCAGCTGAATCGGTAATAAACCTCCGTGGCGCTTCCTTCAACTTCGTGAGACCTTTTATTGGGAAAAATCAAGGAAAAATATTGGGTGCTTCTCTGTCTCGCCAGGGCAACAAACTCTTTGATGAGTCTGATTGGTCTCTGCCTCCTGGCAAAGACCCCTAAATTCCAGCTCTATACCACTACCAGTATTTAAAAACCTATAAAATAAGGACAATAAATAAAAAGCAACACTCAAAAAACAGGGGAATTCTAGACAAGAAACAATCAGGGTCAGCTAACACCTTTCAACATAGGATACCCCCAGGCAGCAACCAGGAAGGGTTTGGTGAGCATTAAACCTGACTTTTGGTTTTGAAGCTGTAGAGCTATTCAATGCTAATCAAGGTTGCCAATTGCAACATTCACACTTGCCTCCAACAGACAAGAGTCCTTTCTTCCTCTCTGGACATATATAAACTTCCCTTTCCTAGTTTCCAACAGATCTCACAACCTCTGAGGATGCCTGCCACAGATGTGGGCAAAACGTTAGGAGGGAATGCTTCTGGAACATGGCAATACAGCCCAGAAAACTCACAGCAACCCAGTGATTCCAGCCATGAAAGCCTTCGACAATACAGAAATAAAATAGATTTTGCAGTAAAAAATGAAACTTACCACTAAAAATGAAACTTACCACTAAATTTAGCAAAAGTTCGCCATCACCAGATTCCATACAGGAGAGCGCATGGGTTTTATCACTGAGGCCCATAAAGATGGGTTGCAGACTTGGATCGAGTGAGTTGTTGGGAAGCACAGCCAAAAGTTCTTCTGGGGAAAAACAAATGAAAGAGAAACTGATAAGAGAATGAAAAGCATCCTCTGCAAGTCCACTAATGTGGATGAAAATTAAATCATTGATAGATTAATAGTTTAGATTTATTAGTGAATGTTTCACAGGAGCAAAGATAAATAGCCAAGTGGTTCGAGAGTATTTATAGGGCCATTCTTCCTAGCATTTCTTACCTGAAGAGTTAGGAGCCCCCGGTGGTGTCTGCCTCTGGGGTTGAACCCCTGTGCCGGCAGGACTGAAGACCAACTGTTCTGATACAGCTGTACCAGGAGCTCCAACTTTATTTGCTTTGTATTAAATGTTTGATTGCAGTCCTAGGTTTCAGGGACTCTGCAGATAGGTGGCTTCTTTTGGTTGCAGTCATAGGGCAAGTCACCTGTCCATCATCGTTTTGTTCCCGTCCCTTGCTCAGGGCAATTGGGAAGGGAAGGGAGCCATTTTTTTAGTTAGTCTCAGCAAGGAAAACTAATGTACAGGACGTGTGCAAGCTTCCCCTGTACAAAAGCTTCAACCCTTAAGAATTTCCAGGGGAGAACAGTTTTAAGAGTCTGCAAAGACTTTCCAGGGAAACAGCCCTAAAGACCAAAGAACTCCAGCTGTAGAACATCTAAGCCTTTACTGGTAGGTCCACTCGGCGTTCGAGAAGCAGTTCGACCCGGTAGCGAAGCCCACATCAGTAAGGGTTAGATTACAGTCAGCCTGGGAGAAGTTAAAAAGGGGATTTTCCATTTAAAGTAAAGAAGAAGTTATTGAAGACAGTTGCCTGTCCTTCGTGGGCAAGATTAAGAATTCACCAGTTGCCTAAAAGCTTGGAATCATTTGCTTAACTTTACTGAAGACAAGAGAAGTTTCTGTTTGATTGTTCTTTAATAAAAGACTTTGTTATACTTCACAAGCCATCTAAAGATCATTTGTGGTGGAAACCTCTGAGAACTTCTCCTTGGGCCCCCTAGCTTCCCACTGGGCAAAGGTTGCACGTCCTATTCTAAAGGAAATTTTTTACAGGCCCAGCACGCGACAGAACACCAACAAGTCGCAAGTTTGAATCCGGGGGGAGCGCAGATGAGCTCCCTCTATCAGCTCCAGCTCCTCATGCAGGGACATGAGAGAAGCCTCCCACAAGGATGGCAACACATTTTATTTATTTACTGTATTTATTTATTTATTTATTTATTTATTTATTTATTTACTGTACTTGTATACTGCCTTTCTCAGCCAGTCGGTGACTCAAGGTGGTTTACAACAAATCAGTACACATAATATCACAATACAGGTTAAAACATTAAAACAATATAAAACACAACAAAAGCAATAAAAAAACATCATTAGCGTCTCCTTATTATCAAAGCATTGTCCATTTCCATCATCAAGTCGTTCGATTTCCTATATCAGTTACTTCACATTTGTAAACGCTTGCTCAAACCACCATGTTTTAACTTGTCTCCGAAACATTAAGAGGGAGGGAGCCGATCTGATCTCCCTAGGGAGGGGGTTCCATAGCCGAGGGGCCACCACTGAGAAAGCCCTGTCTCTCATCCCTGGCAACCGTTCTTGTGATGAAGCCGGGATCGAGAGCAGGGTCTCCCCATATCATATTAAGGTCCTGGATGATTCATAAGGGGAGATACGTTCAGAAAGGTAGATTGGGCCAGAAGCGTTTAGGACAGGGGGCCTCAAACTTTTTAAATAGAGGGCCAGGTCACAGTCCCTCAAACTGTTGTTGGGCCAGATTATAATTAAAAAAAACATGAATGAATGCCTATGCACACTGCACATATCTTATTTGTAGTGCAAAAAACATTTTAAAACAATACAATAATTAAAATTAAAAACAGTTTTAACAAATATTAACTTATTAGTATTTCAGTGGAAAGTGTGGGCCTGCTTTTGGCTGATGAGATAGGATTGTTGTTGTTATTGTGTGCTTTCAAGTCATTTCAGACTTAGGTTGACCCTGAGCGAGGGCTGGGTAAATGACCTTGGAGGGCCATATCCGGCCCCCGGGCCTTAGTTTCAGGACCCCTGGTTTAGTGCTTTGTAGGCTAACGCCAATACTTTGAATTGTGCCCAGTAGCAGACTTGCAGCCAGTGGAGCTGGCGCAACAGAGGAGTTGTATGCTCCCTGAGTGCCGCTCCAGTTAACAGTCTGGCTGCCATCTGTTGGACCATTTGAAGCTTCCGGCCAGTCTTCAAAGGCAGCCCCACATAGAGTGCATTGCAATAATCTATACGGGATGTAACACATCAAAACATCTGGGCGTCCCCTGGGCAATGTCTTTACGGGTACTGGACAAGTGCCTGGCCGCTGTGGCTGGCTGGATGAGGAGGAACAAGCTGAAGATTAATTCTGACAAGACAGAGGTCCTCCTGGTCGATCGTAAACCAGATCGAGGTATAGGGTGGCAACCTGTGCTGGACGGGGTTACACTCCCCCTGGTCCTCAGTTTGGGTGTCCTCCTGGACTCATCACTTACGTTTGAAGCTCAGGCATCGGCGGTGGCCGGGAGGGCCTTTGCACAATTGAGACTCGTGCGCCAACTGTGACCGTACCTCATGAAGGCGGATCTGGCCAGAGTGGTCCATGCCTTAGTCACCTCCAGATTGGACTACTGTAATGCACTCTCCGTGGGGCTGCCCTTGAAAATGGCCCAGAAATTCCAGTTGGTTCAACGGGCGGCAGCCAGGCTGTTAACTGGTGCTCCTTACAGGGAGAGGTCAACCCTCCTGATTAAGGAGCTCCATTGGCTGCCGTTCATTTTCCGGTCCCAATTCAAGATGGAGGTGCTTACCTACAAAGCCCTAAACGGTTTGGGACCCATCTACCTACGTGACCGCATTTCTGTATACGAACCCACACGATCTCTTCGTTCATCTGGAGAGGCCCTGCTCACGATCCCACCTGCATTGCAAGCGCGATTGGTGGGAACGAGGGACAGGGCCTTCTCGGTGGTGGCCCCACGACTCTGGAACTCCCTCCCCAAGGACATCAGGCAGGCCCCAACATTGGCAGTCTTTAGAAGGAGCTTGAAAACATGGATGTTCCAGTGTGCCTTCCCACAATAAGGAATCCTAAGCAATATGTCCCAAATGCACTTTACGAGAGATTTAGAACTGTCTGCACGACCACCTATCCCTAAAATATCCATCCTATTTCCCTTGGACATGCCCAGTATTTTAAAATTTTAATCCTTACATTTTGCCCTGCCACAGGTTTTTAAAATGTGTTGTGTCATTATTGTATTGTTTTGCTTTGTTATGAGTTATTTATTGTTATTTTGTTGTTGTTATGTTTTATGATATATTTGGGCTCGCCCTCTTGTAAGCCGCACCAAGTCCTGTGGGAGATGGTAGCGGGGTATAAATAAAGGTTTATTATTCTTATTCTTATTATTTACAGTTGGCCAATTCTCTCACACCAGAAGTGACTTGCAGTTTATCAAGTCACCACTGACACGACCACAAAAAAAAAAAAAAAACCTGAAGAGTTGCTTCACTTTACTTAGTAACGGGGCTGGCACTGTCGGCTGCTATGAAAATGGAATGGCAGTGACACCATTACCATGAGACAAAGGCAAGAGAAGTGCAGAAGCAAAGAGGATGGCTGCTAATTCTACTAAAAAGTAGCACATTTTGCCTTGCTTGTCACCCTTCCCCAGAATATATGGCTCTTATCCCATCCATAAACTGCAAATGGGGTCAGAGAAGTACCAACAGAACTGAAGAGTGGGTTGTTGTGCTTCTGGAGCATGGCCATACAGCCTGGAAACTCACAACAACCCAGTGATTCCGGCCATGAAATCCTTCGACAAGACATAGAACTAAAGAGTTTCACTGCTCACCTGGAGTCATGGAATCTCGGGATGTTGCCACTAGAATATTGTTCATCAGGATCAAGAACTTCTGGCTCACATCCCAAATTCTGAACAGCCTGGCTTCGGTTTCTCTAGGGGCCCTAATTCTACGTGGAGGAGATGCTACAAAAAACAAAAACAAAAAAAACCAGCAACAACATATCTCTGCATCACATTATGTAATCTAATAAAGAAAATGCTAAGCAATGTATGAGTCATTTGATCAGGTCCATTCTGTCAACCCACAATTTGTCACAACTTGTATTACAGCTGTAATTGGCAAAGAATACATTCAAAATGGGGAATGGCTTATTTCTCTGATTTTGTTCATTTACCTAATGCTATATCCACACTACAGACTTATAACAGTTTGACACCACTTGAATTGCCATGATTCAATGCTAGGGAGATTACCAAGACCTACCCTTGAATTTTCCCTTTTTTAATTTCTCAACCTGGGAGTTGGGACCCCTGGGGAGTCATGAGGAGGTTTCAGAGGTGTCATCAAAGACCTTCAAAAACATATATTTCTGATGGTCTTAGGAACCCCTGTTTCTGAAACTCCAAGCGGGGAGGGGAGAGAAGGCGTGCTTGGAGCATGGCAGCGTGGTGTGCATGTGTGGCCGTGGAAGAGTGTGTGAGGCTGGAGGGAAGCTCGCGTCAGAGAGTCCCTTCAAGACATGGGGGTTCTGTGTAGGATGTTTGGCCCAATTCTATTGCTGGTGGGGTTCAGGATGCTCTTTGATTGTAGGTGAACTATAAATCCCAGCAACTACAACTTCCAGATGTCAAGGTCTATTTTCCCCACACTCCGCCAGTGTTCACATTTGCACATATTGAGTATTCATGCCAAGTTTGGTCCAGATCTACCATTGTTTGAGTCCTCAGTGCTCTCTGGATGTAGATGAACTACAACTCCAAAACTCAAGGTCAATGCCCATCAAAGCCTTCCAGTATTTTCTGTTGGCCATGGGTGTTCTGTGTGCCAGGTTTGTTTCAATTCCATCATTGGTGGAGTTCAGAATGCTCTTTGATTGTAACTGAACTATAAATCCCAGCAACTATAACTCCCAAATGACAAAATCAACCCAACCCCCACCCAAATCCACCAGTTTTCAAATTTGGCCATGTTGGATATTTGTGCCAACACAGCTGGTGGGGACGAGGGACAGGGCCTTCTCTGCCATGGCCCCCTGCCTGTGAAACGCACTTCCAAATGAGATACAATTGACCCCATCCCTCCTGGCTTTCAGGAAGAAAGTAAAATTGTGGTTGTGGGACCAGGCTTTCGGACAGCAGACATAAATCAGCACTTGTTTGAAATGGATTGGAAAGGCGATTTACATGAGGATACAGTTTTAGTGTTAATTAAGGTTTTATACTGTTTAATTAATGGCTTATGTATTTTATGTATTTTAATGGTTAAATGGTTTTGTTTTAATGGTTATTGTATTTTATTGATCATATGTAACGGCATCGAATTTCTGCCAATGTAAGCCGTCCTGAGTCCTGCTTCAGGGGTAGAGAAGAGACGGGATATAAATACCAGCATATGTCCTTAAAAAGGACACAAACCATGTTCGATTTGGCTCGCTCGGATCCAAACGCCACACGCTCTCTAGTTCCCTCTTCCTTCGCTTCATCGCTGCCAGCTCCTCAGTAAACCAAGGGGCTGGTTTAGCTCGGCTACTTGAGAGGGGACGTTCTGGAGCAATTGTGTCTATTGCCCTAGCTATCTCCCCATTCCAGAGAGCGACCAGGGCATCAACAGGATCACCTACCAAGGTGGCGGGGAACTCCCCAAGAGCCATCAGGAATCCATCAGGATCCATAAGTCTCCTGGGGTGAACCAGCTTAATGGGTCCTCCACCTCTGCAGAGGTTGGGGGGTGCAGTAAGTCTAAATCTGACCAGGTGGTGGTCGGTCCATGGCAACGGAGAGATGGACAACTCCTCAACACCGCCACCTTCCTCCCATCCCTGGCAGAAAACCAAATCCAATGTGTGTCCTGCACTGTGAGTGGGGCCAGATACCCATTGGGACAGCCCCATGGTTGCCATGGCAGACATGAAGTCCTGAGCCGCTCCCGATAGGGCGGCCTCGGCATGGACATTGAAGTCCCCCAGCACAAGCAGCCGTTGCGACTCCAATGCCAGGTCCGAGACCACCCCCGCTAGCTCAGGCAGGGAGACTGTAGTGCAGCGAGGTGGACGGTACACTAACAGAATCCATATTCTGTCCCGGTTACCCACCCTCAGATGGACACATTCAAAATTTGTTGACTGCGGGATGGGACCCCTGGTCAGAGGGACGGAATCTATATAGACCACTGCAACCCCGCCTCCCCGCCCTCCGGATCTCGGCTGGTGCTGCACAGAGAAACCTGGCAGGCAAAGCTGGGTCAAATTCACACCTCCAGCTTCATCCAGCCAGGTCTCCGTGATGCACGCCATATCTGCCCGTTCATCCGGGATTAAATCCTGGATGAAAGTTGTTTTGCCATTGACAGACCTGGCGTTCAACAGCACCACCTTCAATCCGGAGGGATCGCCATCCTGGTTACACCAACTTACCATATCAGGAGACCGATTTGGAATTACTAATGTTGTTCCACGATCCCTAGGCCCATATCTCCCCTTCCCCACCACAACTTCTATGGGGGCCCCTCGGCCGACGGAACACCCTCCCTCCTCCATGACGCATTCAACATCCATAACTTAAATAAACATTTTGTTGATGTTCATATCTTGACTGGCATCAGTTGCTGAAAGTATTGAGTTATTGCTTCAAAGAAAGACCCCCAGCGATTCACCCAGATAAAGAGAGAAGCACGTCTTAGTTTTAATGTTATAGGGTTTGGGTGTGATGGCACAGGGAATCACCACATCATGAGGAACTGTGTTAAGTGGTCACAGCACTAGGAAGGTTGAGAAACACTGCTCCAGAACTTAATTATGTGAAAAGTTGCTATTGGGGTTTGTGCATATGACTTTACTTGACTGGAACTTGGAAAAAATGGTTCGGACTCCAAATCCCAGAACCTTCTACTCAGGACCACCTGCTGTGGTGCAGAACAGTAATTTCTACAAGCTCTGTTCTAAATCTATCCCCCCCCCCCCCCAGTTTCTCCATGATATCTCCATGACACCAAGCAGAAAAGTAACAAGTTATTTTTCACCTGGATCGTAGTCACAGAATAATTCTATCATTTCTTCATCCCAAGTCTTCTTGTTGGACATCCTTCTCTTGGATTCTATCCTCTGGCTTTTATATATTTTGGGTACCATCCTGCAGGGCTTACAAATCTGAGATTCCATCTCTGTGGCGCCTCCTCCTTTTTCTGTTTCCTCCCAAGGACTGGTTGAGCTTCAGGGTCTCAAGGGCTTCTCCTCCAATCACAGCGTTGCTCCTAGACCAAGATACTAAAAGAGATCAATGACAAATTGTAATTCTGTTTGATTATGAAGAAGGCACATTGATTGTCCCAGGAAGCCTCCTTTTAAAAAGTGAAAAGGTCTGAAATTTTAGTAGTAGAATGGCTTTCTTAATGCAAAAGGTAAAAAGAAGATCTGGCTGACTGGTCTATTTTAAGAAACTTAGCTTCACATGAGAGTTTAGATGTTTTTTATTGTGTTAGAAGCAACTTAAGACACTGCAAGTCACTTCTGGTGTGAGAGAATCAGCCGTCTGCAGAGACGTTGCCCAAGGGACGCCCAGATGTGTTATCATCCTGTGGGAGGCTTCTCTTATGTTCCCACATGGGAAGCTGGGGCTGACAGATGGGATCTCACCCCATCTTGCAGATTTGAACCGTCAACCTTCAGGTTAGCAGTTCAGCCCACAGAAGGGTTTAACCCATTGCATCACCGTGGCTGTGGACTCTCCTTCCTCCAGAAATCCATCAATATGCAAGTTCCTCTCATCAGAAGACATAAAAGGCACATTTTCCAGGTGAAGATGAGTGAGATTTTCATTCCAGGTTTTTCCCCTTTAAGGGTACTTCCACACAGCCATATAACCCATAATATCAAAACAGATAATCCACAATATCTGCTTTGAACTGGATTATCTGAGCCCATACTGCCATATAATTCAGTTCAATGTGGATTTTGTACAGCAGTGTAGAAAGGACCTTAATCTTTAATAATTTGAGGGCAAGTAGATACAGTATAATATTCTCTATGTCTGGAACAAGTGTCTCTGCTTGAAGGAAAACTACAATAACAATAGTCCAAAAGTGCAATTTTCCCCTCTCCACTTTTTAAAACTTGTAGTGCTAGTCAATATCACTGATTCTCAGAAAATAAAATGAAATTAAAAAAATCATTTTTGGGTTGCTGTGAGTTTTCCGGGCTGTATGGCAATGTTCCAGAAGCATTCCCTCCTGTTGTTTTGCCTACATCTATGGCAGGCATCCTCAGAGGTTGTGAGGTCTGTTGGAAATTAGGAAAGTGAGGTTTATGTATCTGTGGAATGTCCAGGGTGTAAGAAAGAACTCGTCTGCTTGAGGCAAGTGTGAATATTGCAAATGACCACGTTGATAAGCATTTAATGGCCTTGCACCTTCAAAGCCTGGCTGGTTGCTGCCTGGCCACACCACAAACCCTGGCTGTAAAGTAGCATTTCTCAACCTGGGAGTCAGGACCCCTGGGGGGGTTGCAGGGGGGGTGTCAGAGGGATCACCAAAGACCACCAGAAAACACAGTATTTTCTGTTGATCATGGGAGTTCTGTGTGGGAAGTTTGGCCCAATTCTTTCATTGGTGGAGTTCAAGAGGCTCTTTGATTGTAGGAGAACTATAAATCCCAACAACTACAACTCCTAAATATCAAGATCTATTTTCCCCAAACTCCACCTGTGTTCAAATTTGGACATATTGAGTATTTGTGCCAAGTTTGGTACAGATCCATCATTGTTTGAGTCCTCAGTGCTCTCTGAATGTAGGTGAACTACAACTCCAAAACTCAAGGTCAATGCCCACCAAACCCTTCCAATATTTTCTGTTGGTCATGGGAGTTCTGTGTGCCAAGTTTGGTTCCATTCCATCATTGGCGGTGTTCAGAATGCTCTTTGATTGTAGGTGAACTATCAATCCCAGCAACTACAACTCCAAAATGACAAAATCAATCCCCCCTCCCACACACACACACACACACACAACCCCTCCAGTATTCAAATTTGGGTGTATTGGGTATTTGTGCCAAATTTGGTCCAGTAAATGAAAATACATCCTGCATATCAGATATTTACATTACAATTCATAACAGCAGCACAATTACAGTTATGAAGTAGCAACAAAAACTATTTTATTGTTGGGGTCACCACAACAGGGCAAACTGTATAAAGGGGTCGAGGCATTTGGAAGGTTGAGAACCACTGCTGTAAAGACACATAAGGAAACCTGCTGAAAATTATAATATAGTTTCTGTCCAGAGTTAGGAAAAGTAACTCTTTGAGTACAATTTTCCATAATCATCAGCCAGCACTGCCACTGACTATGGTGGCTGAAGGAATGCTGGAGCGGCAGTTCAGAAAATAGTATTCCCTAGCTTTTCTTCTAATTGTTAAACAATTTTGTTTTCAAAGTAAGGTGTTTAACATAAACATGTCCACAATTGTAAATAAAGACACTTTACCTGCACGGACGTTGAAAAATCCTGTATCTTAGACAGAAGATGTCCTTTCTGCATGCTCTTTGTGGTCTGCACATTATATATGCTCTCAGAGACACTCTTGGGTGCAATTCCAAGCCCAAAGGCAACTTTAGGATCAAAGACATACACAAACCCTGGAGGCTAGTGTTTCTGGAAGCTGTGAGGTTTGTGATGATCTGAAGGCTTGCTTTTATGTAGTATTAGCATTTGCAAGGAAGAGCTTGCAAGTGCAGCTTTGGGCTACAACTCCCAAAATCCGCTGTTTCCAAGATGCAAGCCAGACATCAGAGGAATGGCTCCTGGATTGTGGTTTAATGTTAAGTAGGATGCAAAATGCTTGCAAGATAATGCCAACTAAATGACAGCAAATGGAGGTTGATGCATGTTATGTCTGTATTTGTGTTCAAAGCAGCAAAATAAACTAGGTGAATGTGGAAATGTGGTTTATTGATTAACCATAAACAACAAAAACACCTATCCAGAAGTCTTATTTAGCTCTTTTACCAACATAAGACATTTTGCTGCCTAAGATAAAAGACAAGACAGATATCCCCTTCTTCCACACTCCAAGTAACCCATAGAAAGCAAGGGGATTAGTAGCTGAATCTTTCCCAGACCTAGGGAAAAAAATAGAAATGCCCACTGGCAGGCAGATTTTGAGAGTTGAAGTCAAAAATGTAATTTTCTCAAGAGAGTCTTTTGGGAATGTTACTAAGACCTTCTGTAATTACGGAGATGAGAAAGTGTTGGGCAACCATTTGTTTCTTTAGACACATTGAATCCAAACGTATCTCCCTGTATGAACTATCTTGGACAGTCGTTTTCAACCTTCCTAATTCCGCGACCTCTTGATACAGTTCCTGATGTTGGGGTGGCCCTCAATCATAAAATTATTTTCGTTGCGACTTCATAACTGTAATGTTGCTACTGTTGTGAATCGTAATGTAAATATCTGATATGCAGGATGTATTTTAATTCACTGGACCAAATTTGCCACAAATACCAGATACACCCACATTTGAATACTGGTGGGGTTGAGGGGGGATTGATTTTGTCATTTGGGAGTTGTAGTTGCTGGAATTTATAGTTCACCTACAATCAAAGAGTATTCTGAACTCCACCAACGATGGAATTGAACCAAGCTTGGCACACAGAACTCCCAACAGAAAATACTAAAAGGGTTTGGTGGGCACTGACCTTGAGTTTGAGAGTTGTAGTTCACCTATATCCAGAGAGCAGGAGGAGCGCTTTTGGTGGGAGGCAGGCCCATAGCCAGGATTTTGATTCGTGGGGGCTGAGTTTGATTCGGGGGTGGGGGTGAGCTTGATTCAGGGGGTGGGCTGAGTTTGATTTGGAGGGGGCCTCAGGATCTACCCTAGCAAACCTTTTGTATCATTATCCCAATACCCCCATGCATATGGGATATATTGAGCATGATATGAATAAACATAACAGTATAAATAATGTAGCAGTAAGGCCTTCTCGCAGACCACCCTGAGAATTTCAGGGGGTACTGAAACCCCTCAAGCCCCCCCCCCCCCACTACGAGCCTCCCACAGATTCACCATCTGTTTCCAAAAAGGAAGAGGAGGACAGGCAGAGAGATCTTGAGCCTTCTCTGCCAAAGGGGTTCCTAAGACCATCAGAAATATGTGAATATGTGTTTTCTGGTGGCCTTTAGCAACCCCCCTGAAATCCCCTCGCGACCCCCCCCCAGGGGTCCTGACCCCCAGGTTGAGAAACACTGATCTAGGAGATTGAGATCATCTGGGGAGGCCCTTCTATCGGTCCCACCTCTTTCGCACGTGCAACTGGTGGGAACGAGAGAGAGGGCTTTCTCAGTAGTGGCCCTTTCCTGTGGAACTCCCTCCCTACCAAAATTAGATCAGCGCCCTCCCTTTTGGTCTTCAGAAAGAAAGTAAAAAAAGTAAAGATATGTTGTAAGGCATTGAATTTTTGCTGTGAATTTGTTGGAAATTGCTTTGAGTCCCCCTGGAGGAGAAAAGCAGTATATAAATGACGATAATAATAATAATAATCATCATCATCATCATCATCATCTGATTCTAGGAGAGAGGCATCTTTTGTCAAAGTGCTTGCATACCTTCACATGTGCACTGATGTGAAAGTAAAGTAAGGAGGTTGTTGACTATCATTTGCTTCTTTGCCCACTACCTTGTGATCCTGCAGGTGTTGAGGAATTATTCCAAATATATACTTCACACTGGCAAGGCTGTTGGGGATCATAGAATCATTGAGTTGGAAGAGACCTCATGGGCCATCCAGTCCAACTCCATTCTGCCAAGAAGCAGGAAAAATCAAATTCAAAGCACCCCCAACAGATGGCCATCCATTCTCTGTTTAAAAGCCTCCAAAGGAGGAGCCTCCATGACACTTTGGAGCAGAGAGTTCCACTGCTGAACAGTTTTCATAGGAAGTTCTTCCAAATGTTCAGATGGAATCTGATTTTGTATAGTTTGGAGCCATTGTTCCACGTCCTAGTCTCCAGGGCAGCTGAAAACATGCCTATTCCCTCCTCCCCATGACTTCCTCTCACATCTTTATACCTGGCCCTCATCATGTCTCCTCTCAGCCTTCTCTTCTGAAGGCTAAATATACTCAACTCCTTAAGCCGCCCCTCACAGGGCTTGTTCTCCACACCCTTGATTATTTTAGTTGCCTTCCTCTGGACACATTCCAGCTTAGAGTCAACATCTCCCTTCAGTTGCAGTGCCCAAAATTGGACACAGTATTCTGTGTGCGAAGGAAGATAGATGCTTTTGAATTGTGGTGTTGGAGGAAAGTTCTGAGAGTGCCTTGGACCGCAAGAAGATCAAACCAGTCCATACTTCAGGAAATAAAGCCCGATTGCTCATTGGAGGGAAGGATATTAGAGGCAAAAATGAAGTACTTTGGCCACATCATGAGAAGACAGGAAAGCTTAGAGAAGACAATTATGCTGGGGAAAATGGAAGGAAAAAGGAAAAGGGGCTGACCAAGGGCAAGATGGATGGATGGCATCCTTGAAGTAACTGGCTTGACCTTGAAGGAGCTGGGGGTGGTGACAGCCGACAAGGAGCTCTGGTGTGGGCTAGTTCATGAGGTCACGAAGAGTCGGAAGCGACTGAACGAATGAACAACTATAACAATTCCAGGTGTGGTCTGACCAAGGCAAAATAGAGCATGGGTAGCATGACTTCCCTGTATCTAGACATTATACTCCTATTTATGCAGGCCAAAATCAGAGTATAGTGTCTAGATCCAAGGAAGTCATGCTGGGAACGAAAGTCATGATGGGAAGTCATGATGGGGACTAAAAGTCAACAACATCCCGGGAGGAAGGTTCCACAACCATTCCTATTACATTGTGGGAAGTCAAATTCCTCACATGACTCTTGCACACCATTCCCAACCATACCGTTTCTGTCATCAAAAACTTTAGTCTTTGATGATCCGGCAGTATGGCACCTCTTGATTCCTATCTTGCTTTTGCCCAATCATAAATTCCAGGAGAAGAACAGAGAAAAGAAAATACTTTATATATCCTGCATGGTGCTGACTGGGTGAAGTAATGGTGACTGCATGGTAACTGTGTGGTAAGGTAGCTCTTCCGATGTTTTTCTGGACATCTCATAATTCTTCTCCATTGGCTAAGCTGGATGGGGCTAATAGGAGTCATAGACCAAAAATACCTGGAAGGGAGGGCTACATTTACTTACACTTGCCAGTTGGTATAAAAAATATAAATCAGTTAGGTTTGCTGGAGGCAGCCATAAAGACAACTATGAGACCATTCTCACTAAATCTGGATATTCTCACAGTTTTATCACCAGAAGGAATGCAATTTATGAGGCCAAAGAGTTGAGGTGCCTAGAGAAGTATTTATAGGTCAGGCTTTTGCATGAACTGCTGGATACTGGGAACTTGCTGATAAAAATGAGATCTACGTATAGATTGACACTTGACATTTTTAAACGGAGACAAATAGCTCTTTAAAGGAATGCTACTAATGCAGCTGGGGTGTAAAAGCTCTGGATAATTTACAGTGGATTGGCAAGGATTTCTAATTCCCATTTTAAACCATAGCAACAGAAAGCCCAGATTGCATTATATTGCATTGACAATTGTTTGCTGCTGCTTTATAAAATGTATTTTGGCTATGGGATTGGTGAAGAAACCCTTCTTTTAATGTTGTAGCTGTTTTAATGTATTTGGGGACTGAATTTGAAAAATAAAATAATTATGGCCACAGTGGTCCACGCTTTGATTACTGTATATACTCGAGTGTAAGTCTAGTTTTTCAGCACCATTTATAGGCTGAAAATGTTCCTCTCAGCTTATACTCAGGTCAAGGTTATTTATTATTTTACTCTGTTATTATTATTTTTATTACATGTATTATTTTACTCTATTTATTATTATTATTATTATTATTATTACATTTATAATTTTACTCTATTATTATTACATTATTATTTTACTGTACTATTGTTATTATTGCATGTATTATTTTACTCTATTTATTATTGTTATTACAGATATTATTTTAATCTATTATTGTTATTATTACATTTATTATTTTACTCTATTATTATTATTATATTTATTATGTTTCTTTATTATTATTGGAAGGATACATAAGCACATTGAAGATGCTTAGAATCAGAGTTGGACAGTCTTATCTAAAATTACAGTGTTATGTAAATATTCAAAAACCTTCTGATGCCTCAATTAATGTAAATTTATTGGTATCCGTTTTTCTTTTGTAATTTACCAGTCGCTGCTGCATTTCCCACTCTTGGCTTATAGTCGAGACAATGTTTTCCCAGTTTTTGTGGTAAAAATAAGGTGCCTCGGTTTATATTCGGGTCGGCTTATACTAGAGTATATACGGTACTTCTCGAATAGACTAGTGCAATGTGATCTACATGGGGTTGCCTTTGAAGACTGTTCGGAAGCTTCAATTGGTCCAAAGGATGGCAGCCAGATTGCTCACAGGAGCAGCATACAGAGAGGACACAACTCCCCTGTTACGTCAGCTCCACTGCTTCTCAGCACAATTCAAAGTGCTGGCTTTAGTCTATAAAGCCCTAAACGGTTCCTTCCCAGCTTACCTGTCCAAAGGTTAAGATCTTCAGGGGAGGCCCTGCTCTCGGTCCCATCTCCTTCACAGGTGCGGTTGGTGGGGACGAGAGACAGAGCCTTCTCAGTGGTGGCCCCTCAGCTTTGGAACTCCCTCCCTAGTGAAATTAGATCAGCCCCCTCCTTCCTAACCTTCAGCAAAAGGCTAATGATGTGGATGTGGGACCAAGCATTTGGTGAAATAAGAGAATATGGATCAGTGCAATGACAATGTGGAACGGCTTTGGACTATGATCCGTATCTCCTGGTATGAACCATCACAAAACTTAAGATCATCTGGAGAGGCCCTGCTCTCGACCCTACTAACATCGCACATGCGATTGGTGGAGACGAGGGACAGGGCCTTCTCATCAGTGGCCCCCCGCCTGTGGAACGCTCTCCCCAGAGACATCAGAGTGGCCACCTCCCTCCTGTCTTTTAGAATTAAAAAAAAGACCTGGCTATGGGACCAAGCGTTAGATTAGTGAGCAGCAAGGAAAAGAAGATTTTAACACTTATGGCAATGATTTGACCCGGACTGGATTTTAGACTCTGATTTTAATAGGTGTGTGTTAATCAATTGTTTTAACTATTGTTTTAATATTTTTTATATATTTTATATATTATATATTTATATATTTTAATATTTGAATGTATTGTTGATTGTTTTATTATGATGATACCATATGGTGCTTTTGTGAGGCCGCCCTGAGTCCCCCCTCGGGGATGAGAAGGGCGGGGTATAAATATAGGAAATAAATAAATAAATATGATGTTGAATTATGTGATTTTAAAGAAGCGGTTTTAAGGTTTGATATGTTTTAAATTATTATTTTAATGTATATGCGTATTTTATTATGTATGTATGTCTATATGGCATTGGATTGCTGCCCATATATATGTAATCCGCCTTGAGTTCCCTACGGGGAGAGAAGGGTGGGGTAGAAATATGGCAAATAAATAAATAATGTCATACCACACACAGTTATTTCACAAATCCCATTACTAATTTCATCCAGTCATGTTTTACAACATACAAATGTCAAAGAAAGTTGTAGAAAAAAAAACCAATGCATGATGGAACAGATCTGAGCTCATTATTGGGTTTAGAACACCGAATTCATATAACACCAGAATGCATCTTTTGAATTTTTTTAATGATCCACCATTTTACAGAATACTCTGTGCATTACCAAAAGGAGGCCTGGGTTAAAACCGACAGGACTGAAGACCAACAGGTCGCAGGTTTGAAGAAGCGCGGATGAGCTCCCTCCATCAGCTCCAGCTCTCTATGCATGAGAGAAGCCTCCCACAAGGGTGGTAAAACATCAAAACATCCAGGCGTCCTCTGGGCCACGTCCTTGCGGATGGCTAATTCTCTCACACCAGAAGCGACGTGCAGTTTCTCAAGTTTCTAAGTTTCTCAAGTTGCTCCTGACACGACCAAAAAAACCAAACATCCATAAGTCAGCCTTTGTGGATGACTTATGGATGGTAACGGTGCTCCATGCAGTCATGCCGGCCACATTACTTTGGAGGTGTCTACGGACAGCGCCGGCTCTTCGGCTTAGAAATGGAGATCGAGCACCAACCCCCAGAGTTGGACATGACTGGACTTAATATCAGGGGAAAACTTTTACCTTAACCTATGGATGAGAATAATACTGTCCTATGTTGCTGAGTGGAGCCCTCAGTGGTGCAGTGGGTTAAACCGCTGAGCTGCTGAACTTCCTGACTGAAAATCCAGGGAGCAGGGTTGAGCTCCCACTATTAGCCCTAGCTTCTGCCAACCCAGTAGTTCGAAAACATGCAAATGTGAGTAGATCAATAGATCTCCGGCGGGAAGGGAACGGCACTCCATGAAGTAATGACCTTGGAGGTGTCTATGGACAATGGTGGTCACAAAGAATCGGAAGCGACTCAAACGCTGGCTTTTCGGCTCAAAAATGGAGATGAGCACCAACCCCCAGAGTCGGACTTAAAAGACTGGACTTAATGTCAGAGGAAAACCTTCACCTTTTTACCTATGTTGCTGAGCAATATCTTCCACAGCATTCTTCATAATTGGCTAAAAAATCAACACCAAGTCGAAATCACAATTATGTCAGATCTAAAGACGGTGATGACTCTCCTTTCTACTCTCCTTCAAAATCATGAGTCTACCGCATCACAAAGTAGTTATCCTTTCGTTCGAAAAAAAACAGGGTATTTTCAGTGCCTCCTTTTGGACTCAATCCAATAGGTCTGTTTGGCTCTGAAGAAGTGCTTATGAACCAATTGGGGAATTCTGCAGATTCAAAAGAGCAAGTCTCTGGGCTTCCGTCGGTCTTGCTGTAGAAACTAAAGGCCTTCAGTTCCTTTTTCTCTCTGTGAAGTTGCAGAATGCTTCGTTCCTAAGAAAAGATAAGGGCTCAGTTAGTGGGGATAGCACGTTGTGTCCGTAATGATAGCATTGCTGCAAGATCGCAGAACAGGATAAGAGTAGGAAGGGGACCTGTGGTGCAAGGCCTCCAGCGACAGTATCCCCAGCATGTGACTGCCAGCTCTCCTGCTGAAGACATGCAGAGAAGAAGACCCCCACCTTTCTGGGTCATTGGTTTCATTCCCAAGCTGTCCTTACCATTAGGAGCTTCATCCTTAAGATATCTAAAGAGTTGTGTCATGAAGGTGTGTCAGAGGGGTCACCAAAGACCATCAGAAAACACAGTATTTTCTGTTGGTCATGGAGGTTCTGTGTGGGAACTTTGGCCCAATTCTATCATTGGTGGGGTTCAGAATGCTCCTTGATTGTAGGTGAACTATAAATCCCAGCAAGTAAAACTCCCAAATGTCAAAGTCTATTTTCCCCAAACCCCATCAGTTTTCACATTTGGGCATATTGAGTATCCATGCCAACTTTGGTACAGATCCATCATTGTTTGAGCCCACAGTGCTCTCTGGATGTAGGCGAACTACAACTCCCAAACTCAAGGTCAATGCCCACCAAACCCTTCCAGTATTTTCTGTTGGTCATGGGAGTTCTGTGTGCCAAGTTTGGTTCAATTCCATTGTTGGTGGGGTTCAGAATGCTCTTTGTTTGCAGGTTAACTGTAAATCCCAGCAACTACAACTCCCAAATGACAAAATCAATCCCTCCACCAACCCCACAAATACCGGGTATTTGTGCCAAATTTGCTCCAGTGAATGAAAGTACATCCTGCAGATCATTATTTACATGGTGATTCATAATGTTAGGGTTCACCACAATATGAGGAATTGCATTAGGAAGGTTGAGAACCACTGCTGTAGGGTGTGGGGATGATGGTGTGCTCCCTGAATTGCTACCAGAGAGACATAGCTAACAAGGAGATAAAAGTCCCAAGTACAGGATATGTAGTCAGACGAAGCATCGTTTGGAATCAAGTCAAGATCTCATCCTTGTTTCATGGAAGCTTTGCTTGGAAAATTCATGTTTAAGTGCCTTTTGTTTCATGGTTTTGATTCTTGGATTCTATGATTTTATATTCATGCCTTGGATTCATGTTTCCTGGTTTCTTGGATTTTATTAGAGAAGTTTTGACTTTGTTTTTATGGACTTTGCTGGACTATTACCCTGAACTACTTTGTTCCTGCTTATCTTTTTACCTAATTGGACTTACCTATTTCTTTAAAGTGCTTTTTACTGTACTGCTTTTTAATTATCTTCAATAAAAGGATTGTTTCCCTACTCAACAGTGTGGTGTTTAAAGTCAGAGGGCTTTTCCTGTTCTGGAGTGCAATAACAATAAAGTCCTCGAGATTCTTCCAAAAGGTTTTCATGGGAAGGGACCAAAATGTCTCTCCAATAGTCTTCCCCTCTAGATGAAGAATCTAAGGGCACTTCTATACTGACCACTTAGTTCATCTTGGGGACAGATTAGCTCTGTGGTAGCCAAACACTGCACTGAACTTATCTGAGGTAACATGGGGGCAAAGCCACCTTAGTGGATAGTCTGAACTCTGGCCCAGATCTTTTGATCCATCTGAAAAGTTGGGCCGGTTCTTGCTGCCATCCCATGTTTCTCAGGCTCAGGTGGCACAGGGACATGGGATGGCAGTTAACATCGCCTCCTATCTTCCATGTTTCAGTGGTCTCAAGCTGTGACACATTTCCTATTTTCAGGGTGATGGGATGATTAAGGAAAGGAGGGAGAGAAGAGGGAGCAATCCCTTGTCTTTCCCCTCCTCCTCCGCCTCCCCCCTCCCCCCCTGCCTTTTTGCCTCTTCAACCTGGTCAACACCTCAGGTGACAGCTGACAGCCAGAGAGAGTGATCGTCCACCAGCCACATTCGGAACTTCTGGGAAATCGGGACTCACTCCCGCTTCCGCAGAGGACGGGTTAGTGCCTGTCTGAACCATCCCAGGGCCATGGGTCAGTGTAGATCTGCCCTCCAGCACTGGAAACTGGAACATCCAATGGTATTTAGCACAAAATATGCAGAGTCAAAATTGTAATGCAGAACATTACAAATGTCTTTTTAGGAAATGTAAACAAACTTTTAACAAGTGACACTGACTCACCACTATCTGTAGCTGTGGTTGACCTTCGCCAGACTTCACACAGGAGAAACAGTGGTTTTTATCACTCAGCCCCATAAAGATGGGCTGCTTTTTGGGATCAAGGACAGTATTAGGGAGCACAGATATTAAGTGATCTGGAAGAGAAAAATAGGTCAAAAACAGTTAATGAGATTTTTTATCATGTCAGGAGCAACTTTAGAAACTGCAAATTGCTTCTGATGTGAGAGAATTGGCTGTCTGCAAAGACGTTACCCACGGGACGCTCGGATGTTTTACCATCATGTGGAAGGCTTCTCTCATGTCCCCGCATGGGAAGCTGGAGCTGACAGATGGGAGCTCACCCCGCTACCCTGATTTGAACCCCATCCTTTCGGTCAGCAGTCCAGCCCAAGAATATATGCATGCATTCCAGTATTGACTCTAGACAAGTGGAAGGTTGAGATGAAAACACAGAACCAAAGAATTGCAGTAATTACCTGGCATATTAGCATTTTGAGATTTTGCTAGTAGCATGTTGCCCATCAGGAAAAGGAACTTTTGGCTAATATCCCAAATCCTGAACAACCAGGGTATCCTTACGCTGGCAGTTTGGAGTACATAATCCTCTGGGGGGAAAATAGGTATATAGTACATGCATTTCGTGACCACATATATGTATATACAAGCAAAGAAACACATTCTAAGCAAGCATTAAAAGGCTGGAAGTCAGCACCTTTGAACAAACCTTAACTCACCACGAGATTAGATTTTGCACTTATTTTTAATACATACGTGGAAAGTTTGAGCCCCATTTCCCCCACCCAAAAAACCCTGGTTATTGCCCTCATCTCTCCACTCTACCCTCACATGAAACAAATAAATCATGCATATATAATTTTGTTTTGTGTGTACACTTTTGCATGGAGGACCATCGGGTTGAGAAGGATCAAGCCACACTTCAGTAGGTATTAGAATTCAATTCCCTATACAGTCTTTTAGCTTTTGAATTATTTCTTTAGTATGAAATGCACTCGCTAGATGGTGCTCTCTATGTTTGGTTTACTTTTTTTCTTAATGTTTTGTGTATATTGCTTATTGTTTATGTTGTTTATTTTATTGCAACTTGTATTTTATTTTATTGTAATTTGTTGTTTGGGCTTGGCCTCATGTAAGCTGCCCCGAGTCCCCGTTGGGGGAGATGGTGGAGGGGTATAAATAAAGATGATGATGATGATTATTATTATTTAGCAAATGGCTTTAAAAGTGCTTTCAGAGTTTGGAAATAGCTTAAATCCAACTAATTGTGTACAAATTCATTTCCCTTTCCTCCCACTGGGAAAATAGTATGATATTAGTGGGATAGCGGAAGGGTATACATGTTGGTGAAAGTGCTTATGGGTGGAAAGAAGCGTAGTGCAAAACGTAATTTAAAACATAGTTAAATGCTATGCTTTACAATAGCCTTTTCAGCCTGGTAGTTTACAGGTGTATTCTGCAGGAATCATAAATCAGATTGTGGGATTTGTAGTTTTGTTTTTGTTTTTTGTTTTTTTTGGTCGTGTCAGGAGTGACTTGAGAAACTGCAAGTCACTTCTGATGTGAGAGAATTGGCCATCTGCAAAGACGTTGCCCAGGGGACACCTGGATGATTTGATGTTTTTATCATCCTTGTGGGAGGCTTCTCTCATGTCCCTGCATGAGGAGCTGGAGCTGATAGAGGGAGCTCATCCGCTTCTCCCCGGATTTAAACCTGCGACCTTCAGTCCTGCCGTCACAAGGGTTTAACCCACTGCGCCACTGGGGGCTCCTTGGGATTTGTAGTTCAGTGCATTAAGAAGGTGACAACTTGGGTCAGAGGACTTTAAAATGACAAAAACAGCCCTTTTGGGGGATTTAATTACAAAGTGGCAACAGGGGCAATGGTAATATCCAAACATGTCATTTTGTTTTTTTAAGACTTAATGTCATCCAACATTTCAGAGAGGAAAGTCAATACATTAGGCAACATCAGAATGTGGTCGATATGGAGAAAGATGTTTAAGAACACACAAACTATGGGTAGCTGCAGCAATTTGCTTTTGCCTGAACCAAATGGAAAGGACCAGTTTCTATCCCTTTTCTCCCCATTGCACTTTAAAGTTTGGAGCAACTGAAATAAGCTCAAAACAAAGGGAGAAAGTGAGAGGAGGGGAGAGAAACCAGGACCTTCTAAAAGTAGCTGAAAAGGTGGGTCAACACAAGATGAATCGTGGCTGTCATTCCAAATCAGGGCAGTTGGACGGGATGTAATCGAATTAATTGCTTCACAATAGAGACAGCAATTTGATGTCTGTCTTCTCCATAGGAATAGTAGCAAATAACATTTTAAACCTGGATCTGACTCTGGCCTCGTGTCAGAAAATAAAGCAGCCACTTCCTGGTCCCAAGACATCTTGTGAGGTTGTTTGAGTTATATTATATCCTGTTAAAGAAAACAGAAAGAAAATTTAAAGGAGACCCAAAGAGAGATTAGACCTACAGTTGTTTAGACCCAGAAGGGAAATGGTAGTTGCATCTGTGGATGCCAAATCTTGGGGTCTCCCATCTAGGAGAGCTGTCGCATCTTTCAAAGATTCTGCTGGAAGTCTATGTAGTTCATTTGCCTTCCTTCTTACCACCCAATTTTTGGGGGACAGGGCTCATGCTTCCCTCTGTTCTTCAGCTACTTTCTGACTTTTTTTTTTAACCAGGGACCACTTTGACCAGGACCACTCTCCAACATTAATAAGGGTTACAAATCAGTTTTTGGTCAACTTTAGATTTGGTTTGGTTATTTGGGGTGCTGATTCAGAAAATTGCATTGGATAGACCACATCAACTCTAGTTTCTGATACAGAACATATGCCATCCAGTAGTCACTATTTGCTCACCCACAGAAAACCATATTTAATAAGCCTCAGCACTATAAGAGGGTTTCGTGAGACCAGTCGCTCTTTTTACAACTCTGAGGTAACAGTGAGGCCGCGGACCATATTTTAGGTCTTGCGGACCACTGGTGGTCCATGGACTACAAGTTGGGAACCACTGGACTAGAAGCAAGTTAGACAGGTTCCTTGTGCCAATCCCTTCATAAGTAAATAATCCACTCTCTTCACCTTGGTCTGGAAACAATCTCTTAAATGTGGCCACATCTGCATAGTTATATAATCTAATTTGTTGTTACAATCCAGCCAGAACTAGGGCTGATGGGAGTTGAAGCTGGACATATCTGGAACTGATGGGAATTACACTCTGACCACACTTTAGGCTGATGGAATTGCAGGCTATAATGTATCCACATATAATATATCACCAAATATTACACCGCTGGACACTAGGCCTGGGTAACAACGGAAAAATTTGTTTCTAAAATCTATTCGTTTTTTGGGGGTTTTTGCGTTTCGTTATTTAAAATAATTACAAAATTTTCCTTTTAAAAAGTTCGATATTTACGAAATTTGGTAAATGTGAAAAAAATTACAAAACATTAACGAATCGATTTCCGAAACAATAACGAATCGATTCGTTAATGGCGGACGCGACCGCGAAATACGCTAAAAAACCTCCAAAAACTTCTGAAGCTTCCCTCTCCCTCTGTTGTTGACTGTTGGTGTGATATTATAATTTTTTTTCACTAATTAAACAAAAACAACCATAAAACTTGCCCCAGACATGCGGAAATAATAACGAAACGACCTCAAAACAATAACGAAACGAATACAATAACAAAATACGAAGCATTTACAAAACTATTTAAAAATTCGTTTTTTTTAAAAATTGCTCCAGAATGGTCTGTTATCGTTTTGTAATTAAAAAAATTAACGAATTATTAACGAATTACGAATTAACGAAACGAAACCGCCCAGCCCTACTGGACACCACTATAAAGGAATGTATACTATAACCCACACTAATGTCACCAATACAGTAGCGAGACGATGACGGATAAGTGTTATGGTAGAATGTACACTGCCTGTCTTTAAACTCTCTTGTGGATTAAAGCTGCCACCAACCTAAGTTGTTTTAGGATTTTTAAAATGAGTATTTGAGGTAAACTTCTCCCCCTCCTGCCAACACTGTTTCCCCCCTGGCTCCCAAAAATGACTGTTTGTTAAGAGGCTCTTCTGTAATATCTGGGTATTAAAACTGCTGGAACTATCACAAGGGTTTGATGACTGAATGATGCGTGGTAGAGATCTTTTGAAAGTTACATAGAACAAATTTTATTTATAAAAAAAGCCAACAAACTACCTCTGAGAGGTACAAAAAGCATAACTTGTTACAAAAGTACTTCAGCTTGATGGTTGCTTGAAATAGTTCTCTTCACTTAGTTACAGACAGATCATATCAAACAGATCTAACTGTTAGTACCAAAAACCCTTACTCTACTTCAGAGAAATAGTAATGAGTTATGACTAACCTAACCTAGGTAGTCCCTGGGTTATTAACAAACTCTTCCCTAGAGTTCTTCCTGCTAACTAACCCAGTCTAGAGATCTATTCTCTTGTGCTATCTCTCACAAGAATCAGGTTGCTGTCTGACCTTTTTCCTGTCAGCACACAGCACTGTCTAACACAGACACTCTCTCCCTGCAAAAACCCAGTTTCAAAAACCCTTCTTCACACACCAGTTCCCAGTTCTCAACTCTCCTCAAGCTAGAAATCTTTTTCCTTCCTAAGACTTGGCTCCTCCCATCTGCTCTAGCCAATCCTAGGAGACTCCAAACTCCTCCCCTTTTCTAACTATCCTCACTCAAGATGGCTGCCTCCCTGATTTACACTCCCAAAATGGAGGTCTGCCATACTGTTATCCAGGCTTCCTTTCCGGCCTACAAGATAAGATTCACTGCACAGGCCAACTGGTTTTGGGGGGAATGATACAGAATGATGGGAAATGGAGTCCAGTCATATCCGAAGAGTCGTGTGAAACCGACTCACAATGGAGCTGGACCAAGCTTGGTACATATATCCATCATGATCCAACTAAAAATACTGGTGGGATTAGGGAGGACCAATAGAGGATGGGTGTTGGAGTCAAACAACATCTGGAAATGTAGTCCAGTGTCATGATCACTCACTCATGCCATGCAACAGCTTACCTGTCCGAACGTATCTCCTCTATGAATCAGGAGCTTAAGATCGTCTGAGGAGGCCCTGTTCTCCATCCTGCCTGCCTTGCGAGAGACGAAGGACAGGGCCTTCTCAGTGGTGACCCCCTGGCTATGGAACTCCCCAGGGATATTAGATTGGCCCCCTCCCTCCTGACTTTTCGAAATAAAGTAAAGACCTTGAGCAAGCTTTTGAGAATGCAGCGGAATAGATAACATGGAACTATGAATGATGAACATGGAATGGCCAGACAATGTTACTGGATAACGTTTTTAAGAAGATGACACCAATGATTATATGCTTTAATGGTTTTTATTTATGTTTTGTATTGTAATGATTGTTTTTAATGGCACTTTTATGAATGCCTGAAATCGAATTGTGCCAATCTGTATTTATAGCCCACCTTGAGTCACCGTATGGCTGAGAAAGGTGGGCTATAAATATCATAAATAAATAAATAAACTATCAACCCTGACATAGAACACATGGGCATAGACCTATAGAGGGAGGACAGGATGCTACAACGACATTTGAACCTGCCATAAAAGTAAATTGCCCTGAGTAGGCTCAGGCATATGGGAATGGGCAGGGATCAGGCACCAGTGCTTTTGGGTGATTTATGACTTTGTATACAAGGTCCTATATAGATGAGAAGTACTGCTAGATTCTTGTATTCCAAACAATAAAGATGTGTGGTATCTTCAGCCCCTGTGCGTATTCTTTCAAGAGAAGACTAACCCAAAGCAACACGATTGGAGCAAAGAAATTTTACAATTCATGACACCCAGCCAGATGTGGGGCTGGTGGGAACATGCTCTGGGACTGAGAGTTGCAGCCTTTACACTAGTGTACAATTTTAAAATACAGATATCCCTTCATATTTGCTGGGATTAGGATCACAGGACCACCATGAAAGTGAATAAAATAATTAGCAACTGCTACTTTGTATCTGAGAGAGCACCCCTCTAGAAATATATAGGTTTAGGTTAGTCAGCAAAATTTTGTGGTCAACTTCCATAGAACTGCTTTGTAAGATCTAGCAATGGTGTAATCTCTCGAAATCTCTTGCTTCTCCAGCATGACAAAGTCACACCAGAGAACCTAGGGACTCCTAAAGAAAACATTTTAAATGAAATCCATGAATAATCTAATCCACAAAAGCCAAAACCAGGATCTCCTGATTCACAAGCAGTTTCACCCTGAAAGCAGAAAACAGAGCAGAAGAAGAAGCCCAAAAGGAAAATGAAATTACAATACCTTTGCCAATGTGCCTTGGACTCTGGATTCTTACGTCTCTCTTCTGTTCTTGAACTTCCACAATGTTTTATAGTTACTCATCACATTTGGGGAATTTGCATCTCAAGTGTGTCAGGCACCTGGGTGTGCCCTTTGGCAGGCTACTTTTCTTAATTCAAATATAACTTTGGGATTCAAGGTGTGTTCTTTTCCTGGCAACTGTGATGCATCTCACCGATGGACTTCCCCTTTGCAGTGGTGCAAGAGCGAACCAGAAAGACTGAAATCTCAAGTGCTTGTTTGGGCCATAGGTAGTTAGGCGAAATGTGCATACAAGGGTTATCTGAAAAGTAAGGTTACAAGTCATGTAGTTCTCACAGGGAATTTCTCAGGGGAAGTTGGTATCACTGCCATGTATCAGGAAGTCAGCAGAAGCGAATGAACAAGGCCAGTTGTCAGTAGCTCATCAACTGTCATTGTGGTGAAGGTTGGAGATGAGCATCCTCATTCTGTTTCCCTCCAAGTGTGAAGTTCATGCTGTAATATGTGTGCAAAGGTAATAAAAGTTGGATGGATTGCAGCCATAAAGTAATTAGTTTATTTACATTCTATATACAAAGACCAACACAGCACAAAGCAAGGACATCTCCAAAAGATGGCGATTGTAGTTTCTTCTGTTGTCAGTAAAGGCATGCCTCTCACATAGCATTCTGATGACTAAAGTCCGGTCTCATCAGAGGAAGTAGGAAAACACTTCATACTGTCCGTCTAGGATAACTTAAACTTCTGTGGTCTATTAACTCTACACATGCTAGGCAGCTTTACAAACACATGCTCACAGCTTTAAAAACATACACTTTGAAATCTCCCAATAAATCAAACATGGCTCAACAAAATAATAATAATAATAATAATAATAATAATAATAATAATAATAATAACTTTATTTGTACCCCGCTACCATCTCCCCAAGGGACTCGGTGCGGCTTACATGAGACCAAGCCCGCAGTATATCAATAAACAAAGGCAATAACAAATAATCAATACAAAACAGTTAAAATAGATCTCATAAACAAAAATACACAATAAACAATAAACAATAACAATAACATACAAGCATTTAAAACCTATGTGTGACAGCGTGAGTGGCGCCACCTATATTTAGAACTGTAAGTTGCAAGATTTGAATTGTTGTATCATGCCTGATTTTGCCTTTTTACCCTGTAAATGTATAGTTGGATTGGTTGGTTATTTATAGCTGTCAATCAATGTTGTTTGCACCAGTTATATTGCTTCCTCAGCTCAGTTGTTTGGCTCCACCTCTTCCTAGAGAGCAGGACAGTGTTTCCTTTTTCATCCCACCAACAAACTTTCTATCAGATGGTGAGAGAGGGACTTGGCTCTAAGGCCCTTGATTAAGTTACCTCTCAGCACCAATTCTGAGGTTCTTACCCTTAAGACTTATGCTTCATGTTCAGACCGACCTGGACGACGTTTAGAAGTCTCAAGTGCCTTCAAACCAGTTCTTTGGCACCAGAGGAAGACTTTGTGTCTTCAAACATAGGCCATTTGTACTGGGGTTGTGGATTGCACCGGCATTCACAGCCATTGAGAAAGAGAGACCTGGAAAAGCTTCTCAGCTGCAAAACTCCTTGGACCCAAAACAACCAGAGACTGTAATGTATATTTTCCTTTACCCCTTTGAAACTTCCAGCTTATTGCCTTAAAGGGATAACTCTTTGTGAACAATAAAACCTATTTTGAGTTATCTACAGTGTTTTGGTCTTCCAGTTTCGAGTTTCCTAAAGGAGGACAAGAAGCAATCCCCTGGGAGAAAGATGTCACGTCCATCCCTCTTTCACTAAGAGTTATAGCACCCAGGCGCGATGGCACACTATGGCCGGGCCAAATGTAATAATTAAAATTTAAAAATATTTAAAAATAATGCTGGGCATGAACAAGGTAGGGTATAACTAGATAGGGTTTTCAAAGAAAGATGCTATCTAAATGCTAAGGGCATAAACGCTGCTGCGATTCATCGTTTCAGTTTATGGAGAGGACATAATGTCAAGACAGCATGTGACAAAATGGTTGTGGAATATATTGTGAGACCATGAAGAAACTTTTCAGAGCCATCCAAAACAAACATCATGGGATGCTGATGGCAGGAGTCTGTCTCCTTTGTGACAATGCGCATCCGCACACCGCTCATGCAACACAAGAGTTGTTGACTTCATTTGGTTGGGATGTTTTAAGCCACCCTTCCCACAGCCCCGATCTCACACCCAGTGAATATCATCTGTTCACTCAATTGAAGGAACACCTTAATGGAAAACACTCTTCCGATGACACCGAGGTGACAATCGAAGTGACAAACTGGCTGAAAAAGGTGGAGGGAAACTTCTATGACACAGGCATCAAAAACTCATCCCACGGATGACAAAATGTATTGAACTGAGTTGTGATTATGTGGAAAAATAATGTAATACCTATGCTACAATTCATGTAAGTTTTATTAAAATATATTCATTCTCTGTATTTAAAAATATATATAACCTTACTCTCTGGATTGTTGTTGTTGTTCATTCGTTCAGTCATCTCTGACTCTTTGTGACCTCATGAACCAGCCCACGCCAGAGCTCCCTGTCGGCCGTCACCATCCCCAGCTCCTTCAAGGTCAGTCCTTCAAGGTCAGTCCAGTCTCCACGGTGCTGAACAATTTCAGACCGATCTCCAACCTTCCTTTTTTGGGTAAGGTGCTGGAGCGGGTGGTTGCCTCCCAGCTCCAGGGCTTTTTAGATGACATCAACTACCTAGATCAGTCACAGTCTGGTTTCAGGCCTGGTCATGGTACCGAGACAGCCTTGGTCGCCTTGGTGGATGACCTCCGTAGAGAGCTGGACAGGGGGAGTGTGACTCTGTTGGTTCTCTTGGACATCTCAGCGGCTTTCGATACCATCGATCATGGTATCCTTCTGGGACGACTCTCTGGGATGGGTCTCGGGGGCACGGTTTTGTCATGGCTCCGATCCTTCCTGGAGGGTCGATCCCAGATGGTGAAGCTGGGAGACGCCTGCTCGGACCCCTGGCCTTTGACCTGTGGGTCCCACAAGGCTCTATTCTGTCACCCATGCTTTTTAAACCGCTGGGAGAGGTCATCTGGAGTTTTGGAGCTAGGTGCCACCTCTATGCAGATGACACACAGCTCTACTACTCCTTTCCACCTAATTCCAAGGAGGCCTCTCGGGTGCTGGACGAGTGCCTGGCCGCTGTGTCTATCTGGATGAGGAGGAACAAGCTGAAGATCAATCCCGACAAGACAGAGGTCCTTCTGGTCGATCGTAAACCTGACCGGGGTATAGGGTGGCTACCTGTACTGGACGGGGTTACACTCCCCCTGAAGCCACAGGTCCGCAGTTTGGGAGTCCTCTTGGATTCAACGCTCACGCTTGAGGCTCAGGCGTCGGAGGTGTCTGGGAGGGCTTTCGCACAACTGAGACTCGTGCGCCAACTGCGACGGATCTGGCCGGAGTGGTCCATGCCTTGGTCACCTCCAGATTGGACTACTGCAATGCGCTCTATGTGGGGCTGCCCTTGAAGATGGCTCAGAAGTTCCAACTGGTCCAACGATCAGCAGCCAGGATGCTAACTGGGGCCCCTTACAGAGAGAGGTCAACCCCCCTGTTCAAGGTGCTTACCTACAAAGCCCTGAACGGTTTGGGACCAGCCTACCTGCGTGACCGCATCTCCATCTACGAACCCACACGTTCACTTCGGTCATCTGGAGAGGCCCTGCTCGTGATCCCACCGGTGTCGCAAGCGCGCTTGGTGGGGACGCGGGACAGGGCCTTTTCCGTGGTGGCCCCCCGACTCTGGAACACCCTCCCCAAAGACCTTAGACAGGCCCCTACATTGGCTGTCTTCAGAAAGAACTTGAAGACCTGGCTTTTCCGATGCGCCTTCCCAGATTAGGAAATCTCCACCACCAAGTCCCATAAGCACTTTATCAGAACCAATGATTGCTGCACATCGCACATCGCACTTGCCCTGGAAGCCCTATATACACCTCCTGTCACATCAGCACTTTTAATCTTTGTACCCATTCTCTGGCCCGGCCCAGTTTTATTGTGTTTAGTGTATTGTGACTGTTGTTTATTTTGCTTTATTATGTTTTTAATTGTTTGATTTGCTTGGATTGTATTGTTGTGTTGTGTGTTGAGGCCTCGGCCTGTGTAAGCCGCATTTAATCCTTCGGGAGATGCTAGCGGGGTACAAATAAAGTTGTTTAATAATAATAATAATAATAATAATAATAATAATAATATCCATCTTGCCCTTGGTCGGCCCCTCTTCCTTTTACCTTCCACTTTCCCCAGCATAATTGTCTTCTCTAGGCTTTGCTGTCTCCTCATGATGTGGCCAATGTACTTCAACTTTGTCTCTAGTATCCTTCCCTCCAATGAGCAGTCGGGCTTTATTTCCTGGAGGATGGACTGGTTGGATCTTCTCGCAGTCCAAGGCACTCTCAGAACTTTCCTCCAACACCACAGCTCAAAAGCATCTATCTTCCTTTGCTCAGCTTTCCCTAAGGTCCAGCTCTCACATCCGTAGGTTACTACAGGGAATACCATGGCTTTGACTATGCGGATCTTTACTATTTTATCGAGATTGGACATTGCTCTCCTCCCAAGAAGTAAGCGTCTTCTGATTTCCTGGCCACAGTCTGCATCTGCAGTAATCTTTGCACCTAGAAATACAAAGTCTGTCACAGCCTCCATGTTTTCTCCCTCTATTTCCCAGTTGTCAATCATTTTTGTTGCCATAATCTTGGTTTTTTTTATGTTTAGCTGCAACCCAGCTTTTGCACTTTCTTCTTTCACCTTGATTAGAAGGCTCCTCAGCTCCTCCTCGCTTTCGGCCATCAGAGTGGTGTCATCTGCATATCTGAGGTTGTTAATGTTTCTTCCAGCAATTTTCACCCCAGCTTTGCATTCATCAAGCCCCGCACATCGCATGATGTGTTCTGCATACAAGTTAAAAAGGTTGGGTGAGAGTATGCAGCCTTGCCGTACGCCTTTCCCAATCTTGAACCAGTCTGTTGTTCTGTGGTCAGTTCTCACTGTTGCTACTTGGTCCTTGTACAGATTCCTCAGGAGATAGGCAAGGTGGCTTAGTATGCCTATCCCACCAAGAACTTGCCACAATTTATTATGATCCACACAGTCAAAGGCTTTAGAATAGTCAATGAAGCAGAAATAGCTGTTTTTCTGAAACTCCCTGCCTTTCTCCATTATCCAGCGGATATTGGCAATCTGGTTCCTCTGCCTTTTCTAAACCCAGCTTGAACATCTGGCAACTCTCGCTCCATGTATTGCTGGAGTCTTCCTTGCAGGATCTTGAGCATTACCTTACTGGCATGAGAAATAAGGGCCACTGTACGGAAGTTGGAGCAGTCTTTCGCATTTCCCTTTTTTGGTATGGGGATATAAGTTGATTTTTTCCAGTCTGATGGCCATTCTTGTGTTTTCCATATTTGCTGGCATATGGCAT